ACTCCCCTCACATTCCCCTCCGAGAGCTGGAGACACACCAGGGCCAGGATGAGCCACTTCATGGTGCAGGAGTTGTCCACCGGTCCACGCACAACCGTCTCTGAGACTGCAGCCGATGACCTGAGCTGTCTGGACTTCCCAGTTTTATACTGGGAAGCGGTGACCCTCCCCTTATCTGCTGACTTCTGTTTTCCATTACACACGCAGTCCCAGCTTCAAGGGTTTCTTTGCATTTTGGGTCACAAGGATTTTGAGGAGTTTGTGTCCTTAGCGAGCCGCTCAGGTGAGAATAGAGCAACACACGCTTTGATCAAAGTGTTACCATCCGATAAGAGGCCAGCTCTTATCACAGCAAAGAGAGGAGTGACCCAAACGTCACCGTGGCGGGGCGTTATCTGCATCCGTCAAAACCTGTTCAAACCTTTTCCCAAAACAAAGGCGCTCACGGCTCTTGGTGCAGGATGGAACCGCGTCAGACTTTTGTCTGCCGTTCTTCCACCCGGCCAGCCCAGCCGCCCGCAGGGACCTTCTGGCATGGAGGAAGGATCCTGCTGGCGTTGAGGTTTTTCCAGGGCGATGCAAAGAGCTAGAGCCGGCTGCTTTGCTCCTCGTTGCAGGGACTTGGTGAGCCCATGAAGTTTCTTCTCTCGTAGGTGGTTTCCAGTGCTGTTCTGGTCTGTCTTTCTCCATCTCTTCAGGTATTGTGTTCAGCTCTGGGACCCTCAACATAAGAAGGACATGGAGCTGTTGGAGCAAGTCCCAAGGAGGGCCACGCAGATGCTCAGGGGGCTGGAGCACCTGCCCTGCGAACCCAGGCTGAGCGAGTTGGGGTTGTTCAGCCTGGAGAAGAGAAGGCTCTGGGGAGACCTTCCAGTACCTAAAGGGGCTGACCAGAAAGTTGGAGAGGGACTTTTTACAAGGGCATGCAGTGACGGGACAAGGGGTAATGGCTTTAAACTGAAGGCGGGCAGATGGAGATCAGATGTAAGGAGGAAATTCTTCCCTGTGAGGGCGGTGAGGCGCTGGCACAGGCTGCCCAGAGCAGCTGTGGCCGGCCCCCCCCCTTCAAGGCCAGGCTGGATGGGGCTGGGAGCACCCTGGTCTGGTGGGAGGTGTCCCTGCCCATGGCAGGGGGTTGGGACTGGAGGATCTTTAAGGTCCCTTCCCACCCAAACCATTCTGTGATTCATCAGCCTCCCAGTCCTTCACTGTCCTCTCCTCCAGGTACAGCTCATTTCCATACGTGGTACACCTCTATCCTGATTCGGCTTTCATACTATTTTGGACAGAAATGACGTATTTTTCCTTTTTTTTTTTTTTTTCCTTTTTCTTTAATTTCTTGGAGCAATTGATTCCCTTTGCATCCTGCATTAAAAGGCAGGTGCTGTGCCTCCCTGCATGGGGGAGACTTAACCCACCTGCAGAGGAAGCCCTCAGGGGTTTAACCCGCCCACCAGCTCCTCACACCAGCCCAGAAAGTCAGGAAACCCCTTGTTTGCTTTTTTTTTTTTCCCCTGTGAAAAAGAAAACCACTAACACAGACCTCCCAAACTGCCAACAAACACCCAAACAGACCAAAACGTTTTTGGTTACGATCTCAATATTTTCTAGCAAACACACCAAAACATTTTTGGTTATGACCTCAACATTTTCTAGCAAATGGACCAAAACATTTTTGGTTACGACCGAAATATTTTCTAGGCCTCCTCCTCCAGCCCAGCTTGCATCCCCGCTCCGAGCAGCCAGGCTCTTCACCGCGGGGAAGTCGCACTCTCCATCGTCCGCCGATAGCCCGGCGCCGCTATCGCTGCGCTCATCCGGTGTCAACGCTCTGCACAGATTTTATTCCCTTGGGAACACCGGGGCGTGTGTGTCCTTAGCTGGATATTGAGACTATAATAAAGCAATTATCTTGTTTGCTAGCAGGATTGATAGAAAGATCAACTTATTAAGATTGAATAAAAAGCAAATTCTGGCTGAAAGCAAAGAACGGTTATCAAAATGTCAATATACCGAGTGTTATCTGCAGGTCCCCATGGGGACTCAGCCTTGCCAAAAGACAAAGGAATAAGGTGCCCTCTACAGCACACACAAACACATTCTACTTTCGGCACTTCTTGACCCAAAGTCAGACAGCACTTGTTTGCTGAGGCGTTTCGTCTACCAGGAATCAAGGATTTACAGTTTCTAACATCAGGGATCCACGTCCCCACGCGGAGCAGGACTCGGCCGACAGCACCGTGCTGGTTTTGGCTGGGGTAGGGTTCGTTCTCTTCACAGTAGCTGGTGCGGGGCCGTGTTTTGGATCGGTGCTGAAAACAGCGTTGATAACACAGCGACGTTTTTCGCTGCTGCCGAGCAGAGCTCACGCAGAGCCAAGGCCTTTTCTGCTCCTCACCCCACCAGCGCGGACGCTGGGCGTGCACCAGGGGCTGGGAGGGGACGCAGCCGGGATGGCCGATCCCAACGGCCCGAAGGGATATCCCAGGCCGTACGACGTCACACTCAGCGTGTAAAGCTGAGGGAAGAAGGAGGAAGGGGGGGACGTTCAGGGTGATGGTGTTCGTCTTCCCAAGTCGCCGCCAGGTGGGATGGAGCCCCGCTCTCCTGGAGATGGCCGCCCGCCTGGCTTCGGCCAACGAACCCCTCGGTTCGCTTTGCTTGTGCGCGCAGCTTTTGCTTTACCTACTGAACTGTCTTTATCTCAACCCACGAGGTTTCTCACCTTCGCCCTCCCATCCTCTCCCCCGTCCCACCAGGGAGGAGGGAGCGAGCGGCTGCGTGGGGCTGAGCTGCCAGCTGGGGGTGAAGCGCGACAAGCACGTACCCACGTCGCTCCAAGGCAGGACTTCTCCTGGGGCCAAGCTCTGGGCATTTCTCCTCCTTCGCTTTCAGTTTCTTTTCCGTGTTGCTGCAATCACCCAGCCCACACCAAACAGCTCCAGCCCAGGGAACCCTGTCTCTCCCAGGTGAATACAGGTCCCCTTGGCATCCCACGGGCAACTCCACCGCTTTTCCCAGGATGCTGCGGTGGTGCAAAACCAGCAAAGGAGTTGAGCCCTGAGCAGCAGCCATCCTGGCCACCCAGAGGATTCTTCAACACAAGCCAATGAATCCTATTAAACCAACAGAGCGTTCAGCCACCGCAGAGGTGGGCACCATCTCCCAAAACTGGCAGCTCTCAACAGAGCATTTCACTGGATTAGAAACGGGCTCTAAAGTGGGATCCAGCCTCCTCCACGACCCAAAGACTTCTCCTCCCTGCATTGGGGGACAGAAACTTTTACAAAGACATTGCCATCACCCTGAATTTCCCAGTCTGCTCTGGGCTCTGCTTTACCCACGGCAAGAACGCAGAGAAATGACTAGTTCCAACTCCAGGACAATCTACCACCCCAGTTCCTGCGCCTCCGCCCCGGGCACGAGCTGTGGCTATTTACCTCCACAAACAGCAGCGAAGAACTTAATAAACACAAGCAGGAGCTTCCCCTGGTTGTTAAAGCCCGGTGCTCTTGTAAGCACCGTGCCAGCTAAAACCCTTCCTGAAGGT